AGAACAGGTTTAAGGTGAAATGAAACCGGTTGACTGGATGTTTCCGAGCCAAATGGTCCGACCATCTAGGTCAACAACGGTTCCAAAACACTGATTCATACAACCCATTCACCCGATTACTAAATTTTGCATTTTTTTTAATTTTTTAATTATCATGACATCCCATTTATTGAAATGGTTGAACTATAACCTATTCACTTATATGCAAAAACGGTTCAACGTCCAAACCCGGTTTTAAAACATTGCCATAAATAACATCTTTATACTATAAAGTTTATTTTCTTTATGTTAATGCATTTCAATGGCCTTACCTCATAATTTAGTCGAGTGTCATGTTAGTTGTGTGGACCGGAGAAGTTAGTTTGGAGTTTGGACTGATGTTATTCCACCTTGTATTAAGCACTTGTTAATAAAATAATCTATAGCAACGTAAAAAGATTATATAAGTTATTTTACAAGTGTGAGAGAAATGCGTCTGTATCATGTGTTTGAAAATAGGCTTCGATTATGATACTTGGAAGGCATCATACCGGAAAAATCTTGCAACTCATAAAAATGGTAATCAATCAAGTGACATTCATCCTCACTCACGAATTGGTCAAAGCTATTCCATTATCAAAGTGCATTTTTTCTTTGGTGTAAAATTTTGGTCATTTTATTAGATAAGTGCTACCTTTATACCAGATGAATAGATCACTTTTTTGGAAGGGGAAAGTTGCCCAAACTATTATGAGACTAAAATATCCTTATCAACACACAAAAATTAAAATTTTTCTAAAAAATTGTTAGCATTTTCTGACAGAAAGAACCCAGGTGCATTTACCAAAGGAAATGTTAAAAAAAGGGCCTAAACTTTAGGGGTTCTCTCAAATCAGTCTCCGAAGTTCAAAACATGTCTCGGAAATATCCAAACTTTCAGAATGTTTCTAATAGGTCACGGATGTCGATAGATAAGTGAAATAACAGAGATACCGATCAAGTGTCATCTAATTTTTTTTATCAATCATCCAAATGTCCTTCTTTTGAGAAATCTGAACCATCTCTTCTCTTCTCTTTTCTCAAATCCACAACATGCTTTTTTTTTCTGTAAAATGACACCATGAAATCATAGCCGTTCTACATGAAATTATTTAGCAACGAAACATTCTTTTCCTCGATCACTTTCTCAATGTTTTTCGGATAACCAGTTTCAGTAGTTCTAAATGTTCCACACTCACCATGCACGACCACAATAAAGCATTACTCACACAAAAGGCCTGGAATAATCTCTTTACGTGAATGTAGTTGTAAACTTGTAATGGGTCTCTACCAAATTATAGTGTCCTCCAATTGTTCTCATTGTTGGTCTCCTACCCTTCTGAAATAATTTGGGCCTCTGGCCCAGCCTCCGTTTGAAGGTTGAATGATCTTATTATCATTATACATGTACGACCTGGATCATGACACACCACCAAATGGCCACTAAGTCGTCACATTTTGGAAGTCTAAGATTCACTACTCCTCGTATATATATAAAAAAAAAAGAAAACGAAAAACAAAAAAGTTAAATCTTATAGAAAAACCAGCATTCGCTGGAGTGGATTATCGGACCTTAACTACCTGAAGGGGTGGATTGGCGTTGAAAAAAAGAAAACTACAACCATGCACTTAAAAAGTTTGAAGTGGCCCTAAAGCAAGTCTTTCGGGTTAATTAATGTTACTACTAATTTAACCCGAAAGCATCCCTTAGGCTTAATTTGGAAGGAATACAAATACAAATTTGTAGAATGCAAAAACTTAGGTCATGTTTGGTTTAATTCTTATTCTTATCCCAGATGAAATTCTAAAATGGACAAGAATAAATAAAAATAGACAAAATGAGAAAATATTGCTATGAACCAAACACTTTTTTCCTAAAACTGAATTCTTTTTAGACTAACAAGTGTCCTATGTTACTCATTTTTATTCTTCAAAAAGGATTGCCAGTATTCATAAACTACAAGCCTACGTCTCAAATTGTCAATGTTGAAGAGTTGGTGTAGATGTTTTTGTAAAAGTACTTTATTAAAAGTGCTTTTATACAAGTACTTTTCATAAAATGCTTTTGTAAAAATATGTTCATAAAAATGCTTTTATAAAAGTATTTCCGTAAAAGTACTTTTGTAAAGTGCTTTCATAAGAGTACTTTTGTAAAATGCTTTTATAAAAATACTTTCGTAAAAACACTTCTATAAAATGTTTTTGTAAAAATACTTTCATAAAAGTACTTTTGTAAAAATGCTTTCGCAAAAATAAACATCTATGGCAACAGTTTTATAGGCAAAGTTTCCTCAAAGAATGAAAATGAGCAAGATGGGGCATGACTATTTTTCATGCTACAGGCTGCTCAATTTTTATACTATGGGGCTGATTTTTCATTCTAAAATGAATGTAGCCCATGGCAAAAATTTTATAACCAAACACTCTAATGTTATTCTTGCCCATTCTTACCTAAAATGAGCAAGAATTAAAAGAATGAGGCCTAGAACAATAAACCAAACATGACCTTATATTTTGTATGTATTTATACTGTATATATTTGAATTTGTACTCTTTCCAAACTAAGCCTTATTCACTATTTCTAGGCAAAGCACATGATTACATTTATTTATTTTTGCTCCCTAGGCTGATGCAAGTCTTTCGGGTTAATTACTGTTACTACTAATTTAACCGAAAGCATCCCTTATTCACTATTTCTAGGCAAAGTATATGATTGTATTTATTTATTTTTGCTCCATAGGGCTATTCAATGGGGGTAGCCCATCCCCCCATGACCCCTCCAACTATGGTGCAGGAGGGTAGCCCATTAGTCCATCACTTTGCAATTGCTCTTGAAATGGTGAAAGCCAAATCCTATAAAATGCCAAATCCTATAAAATCCACTAAGATGGAAGACCAGATATTAAGACTCAAAAGCTTGCTTAACATAACAAGAAAATGCAGAAAATCCAGAATTTCCAAAAACAGAATTTAACAACTTTGGATCATATATGAATAGCTTAGCCGAAAAGGTTGAGTAAAATCAATGATTAGAGGCATCGGAAATAGCTTCAAATTGTTGAAATCAGTCAAAAAGACCCACGCTTCCAAACATCATGTAAAAGTGGATTTAGCATATCTAGATTATTGGGTTTGAATTAACAAAATATAAAAACAAAAGAATAATGCTGACAAATTGGAATTCAAGATCAGCCAGACTTTTGCTGTAAGCCTGTAACTACTTCCTCTGAACTTTTTGGTTTTCAAAAATACACCTAATTTGTTCTTTACCCAATTGTTCAGGAAATAGCAATTCTTTTCATAGAAGCTGACTCTACTCACTCCAATTCTTTTCATAGGAGTAAAATGTGGAACTGAATATTATCATCATCATCTAGCCTTTTTCCAACCATATGGGATCCATTCTACTCTGTTTAATGCCATGTTCATTGTTAAATTATGGGCACTTAAATCATTTTTTACTACTTTGATCCATGTCCTTGCCCTTCTAGCTCCTAACACTTGTAACAGATCACTTCTTCTTAAGATGTTGTAGCCTATAGGTGGTCTTGTATGAATGTGATCGAACCATCTTAGTCTACTTTCCTCTCATGTTATCACCTATTAGAGTTACTCCTAGGTTCATTCAAATGACTAATGCTCAAAATCTGTCTTTCAGCTGAACTCTAGGCAATAAATCTAGGCTTATGGGCTGCAATTGATTGTGGTATTAAAAGGCTAATTCAGTTTCTGATGCAAAGGAACAAGTTTTGAAGCTTCAAGATAGGAAAGCAGAAGGATCATGGTCTCAACAAAGCTTCATAGATAATAATATATTGCATTTTTTACATGCTTCTACTTCGTAAATAACTAAATATATACGCAGAGCTAACAATCAAATGGCCCATAAACTGGCTACATCTGTATGCTTTGGTCAAAAGGAGATTGATGTATTATCCGTAAATTTTCTCTAGCAATATTGCTTTGGGGTAAAAAGAAATACTCCATTTTTTACCCTTTTTTTTTGATGAATCAATTTTTTGACCCTCTTCTCTCTAGTTTTACCACTCATCCATCCCATCACACACATTTCTACCACACTCAATTTTTGGACATGTTTCTTAACTGCCCAATACTCTATACCATACAACATAGCTGACTTTATGACAATTTTATAAGATTTTTTGGTTAATCTAAGTGGTATTTGTCTATCACATAACATTTATGGATGCACCACTCAATTTACCCATCTTGCTATAGTTCTATGGGCAACATTATCTTCATTCCTCAATCTCTCCCTCGTATGATTTTTTTTTTTTATTGGAAACGGTACCCTTGATATGAATTATTGAACCAAGGTACCAAAAAAAGTCACACTGAGTTATCTCTTGGTGGAACTAAATGTAAAAAGGGAGCCCAGTGCACTAAGCTCTTGCCAACTTTAAGAATGCTTCAAGCCAAGCCAAACACAGTTGGCTGTTTTAGCCCTATGAAAAACCCAAAGAAATAAGATCCTCAAAATGCTGCCAACCTGTTTTAATTTCCCTTCCCTATACTTACCAAGGAAGGAAGAACATTACTTAAATCTTCTATGTTGCACCAAACCTGAAAAATGAAATGAAAAGGGGCAAATGAATCTAGGGACACTTGCACTTCCAATTCCAAACATCTCATTCTAATAGATATCAAGATGAACGCATATAATGCACACAAGAATTAACCAATTCCTAAAATACTAAAATAGAGCTATTCAATATAGTTGTGATAGGGCTTTACCCGATTGAGTGCAAGATGAACGCATATAATGCACACAAGATTTAACCAATTCCTAAAATACTAAAGTAGAGCTATTCAATATAGTTGTGATACGATTGAGTGCATATTGGGATCTTGATATCAGACAAAGCTTTAACCTGTAGCTTTACTACTTAGAAGACTAGATGGATGGTAAAAAAACCCAAAGAAACACACACACACACAATCACATACCCACCAGAGAGAGATGACAATGTTTAAGATCACCTAAATTTATATTCCAATATACTTTTGGCTGGAAGAACTGTTTTTGTTGTCACAATACATATGGAAAAACGAGGTGTTTAGCAATTATGGCCTACCACTACTTTTCTGCATAATAAAAAGAAATTTCAGTCTAAGAATATATCTTTAGAGATACAGATTCAACGGAAATAGTTCTAACAGGAATATCTCTTCTTATGGTTCTATCTACATTTTTGAAGGTTTCGGGAAAATGTCAGGAGTGAACTTCTGTGCTGCACTCAAACTACCCTTAATCTTCATAGCGCCTCTGCATTCATCAAAGAGCAAACATGAAATAGAATAACCAAGCTTCATTGAAACTCTCAAGTAAGGATTGATATTTCAGGAAATATCTTTACCTCATGAAAGCAATTTGTGGGTTCATTTTCCCAGTGGCAACCTTAACAAAATCGTCGTCCTTGAAGGAAAACGTGGCATCGGGCTTCCCTTCGTACGGACCTAAAGCACAAAAGATTGACAGAGGCAGAAAAATGCAAACTTTGAATATCCGAATCTGATTACTTAACCAAACGAATATTGTTTTCACATCGACTGATCTAATACTAATACAAAATCTTATCTTAAAAAGAAAAGTAAGCAGAACCCAAGCTAGATGGATTAAAAGAAAAAATAATATTTGCCCTTTTCTTATTGGGTTCATATGATTGGGGCTAAAATCAATTCTATTGTCCCAGTTAAGTGATTAAATAAAACAAACAAAAAGGCAAAAACAACATAACAAAGACGAGATTCGTTATCAAGCCTCTTTCTTTTGTAATTTTTGTTCGATTACTTTTACCAAATTAGAAGGAAAGAAGGAACAGAGAGAAAAGCCCTAACCTTTGGTAACCTCCCCTTTCTTGAGGTCAACGATATAAATCTCTTCATCGACTCCCAATTTCTAGTGACGCAGGAAAAAGTTAAAACGAACCACAAAAATTACTTGTGTTAGAATTTAGATCAGAGAGAGAGAGAGAGAGAGAGAGAGAGAGAGAGAATGCAGAAGGACCTTTGGAGCGATGTTTATCTGATAAACAAGGCCGACCTTCTTGGTAAGCTCTTTACCGGCGTCGGCGGCGAGATGGAGCTTCATCTGCTCCAGTAGCGTAGCGGATTTGAGCGTGCTGGGGCTCGACATTGTTGCTTCCTGGAGTATGCAGGAGAGACAGGAGAAGATAATACAAGGGAAACCTCTTTATTTCGTGAAGTTCATCATAATTATTATATACATACAGAGACAGAGGGGAGGACTGGAGGTCGGTGCGACCCGCGACGTTCGAGGGGGGATGAGACGTGCTGTTGATGGATACAACTACCCTGTGCGACACAATTGTTGCTAATAAATGGGAAAAGTTTCCGATGTATCCTGCATTTTGGCTCCAGTTATAATTTGGTCCTCGAATTTTAAAAATGCGACAATCTAGTACTTTATTTTTCGAAATGCAACAATTCGGTACTTATTGGTAACCAGCGTTATTATGAAAAAATACAAATATCTTTTATATATCATTTAATTTTTTTTTATCAATTATCTATTAGAATCAAAATCAATTGTCAAATTTCTTATCTCTTATAATTTTTCCCTTTAAGAGATAATCAACCAAATAGCAAATTGAATAAGAAGGAACTCAAAAGTTAAAGTTAATGGTAAGGAAAGAAGAGACGGATAACTGCAACGACAACAACCACCCATTCCATGTATCATGTTACAGAAAGAAGCAAAAGAAAAAAATGGGGAAACAAAGCTGGCTCCAGAAGGGCTAAAATTCAGCTTTCAAGCAGACTGTACAGAGTCCGATCGTTCCTTGCACTTCACAACTTTTTATAAAAATTGATATTTTCTTAAAGGCCATGTACATGTTGAGTGTAAACTATAAAAACTGCCGAGAAAAAAAGCTAATGGCATTTTCATTATATTAGTTTTCTCCATCATTAGAATTAGAGATGAACTCTTCCCAAGTTTTAAGCTTGGAATTCATCCAGTGAAGTTGAAAAGAAAACACAGGTCACCTGATGAAACCCAGTTAAGATGGTTGAATTCATAAAAAAAAAAAAAATGGTTTTGTATTTTAAAACAGAATAGAGTAATTGAAGGGAGATAATGACAGAGACACATAAATACAGAGAGAGATACATTGGAGAGTAGAGCTCTGGAGCTGTGAAGAAATTAAGCACATTTGCTTCTTGCTTGCTGCAGCTGAACCGTGCAAAAGATGAGAGAATATTTCGGGCAGCAGCAAATGTTGCATATGACGTACTGACCACTTGGGACTCCACGTGAAGTTGACACTCGACACACACATTGAAGCTATTGTCCATCGACAATCAGGGTGAGGGAACTAGCTAGGAAGCTTTTTGCTGGGCTTTCAGGACTGATGCCCCACGCTCGCAGAGGTTGCCTTGATGTAATAGTAATACAAGTGGAAAACCTAGAAAGCAAATTTTTTTGGCTCGAGTGACAATTTGGTCCAAGACTGGGCTTTCAGGACTGATGCCCCAAAGCTTTCTCTCAATTTAGTTTTTCGATGGAAATTTTTTTCTCTCTCTTGGTGACAGAGAGATTGGGTTCTTTTCATTTTATGAGGAAGAAAATAATGAGCAGTGATATTTTTAAGAATAATTTTGATATTTTTAAAAATTTTAAATTGCACATAAAGTCATGTGATATACATAAATGACGGTCCATTAACAACAGGTATTAGATTGTCATGTTTTGAAAATAAGAATATTAAATTGTCACATTTTAAAGTTAGAGACCAAAATGTTACTCGAACTAAAATACAGAATACTGATCGTGAATTTTACCTAATAAATAACCATGTAGTTGGTCAATTATTAATGATCAACTGGTCATCCTCTTTCCAGATCTTCAGCGAAAAAAGAAAAAAATTGAGAGAAAAACCTACGTAATCAATCACAAGTTCACAGCACGCCAGTGTTCCGAAGCGGATTCGGGCAGGCTCATATTTTAGTATGTCCACGTCAACCTTATATGAGTTGAAGGTTCTTACATATTTTTGTTTTTCTTATTTTAAAATACATTAAAAAAAAGAGAAAAAAATACAAGAAAAAACTCTTCCGTTTTCACTGATGACGATTAACCAAATTGTTTAGAAGATGAGATTATTCACCTATAGTTATATTTTTCTCTCTGCAACGAAGGAAAAATAAAATATATTTCTCTTTGCAAAAGAGGAGAAAGTGAGAAACAAAAAAGTTGCATGTTTCTCTATACAATGTAAAGTATTTTGTAAATAATAATACCAAATCGCATGTTTATTGCATAATGGATGTGGGATTTAAAACGGTTCCCTCAAAACCAAGGATTTCTATCATAGCATGCCACCGTAGAAATGTTAGTGCCAAATAAAAACTCTTTATTTTTCACACGTGGAAACAAAACCCCAAAGAAGTCACCTTTCATGATATTGTTTTCCTCTGTTCTTTGTGTTCAAGAGAGGTGCCGACATACCATGGAGAGCAGATTAGTTCAACTTGATAGCTGTTTTAAGGGAGTTCACATCGGCACCCCACATAGCACGCCCCAAAGGTGCCCCCCACATGTATATCTCATCGTGCATTGGGAACATCTCCTGTACATGGTTGGGATGTGCTGTGGGGCACCCATGCAATTTTGTTCTAAGGGTTGTGCGACCAATAACTTTGCTCCATGACAACCAAAAGTGCATATTTGCATTTGTACTCCTTCCAAACTCAGCCATAGTTACTCCATCTCTCACTTGCATCTATGGCTGATGTGGACAAAATGATTATGAATCAGCTATTCCTTTCTCACTATGAAACAACAACAATGAACATCAAGAATAGTCATCTTATTCAATTCTGCCTTCTTTTTCCCTGAGTTTTCAATGATTGAAGGCCCAACTCCTCCATCTACTTGCCCACACATGCACTTCTCACTCCCATGCATTGTTGTAGTGTTTGATTCTCATTAGAAGTGTAGAACCGGGTGGCTAGGAGATTAGAAGATCTGAATTCCACTTGTTAATGTTCACAAACCAACATTGACATAGTTGTTCAGTTCAGGCTCCATTTGACTCAAAAAAAAAAAAAAAAAAACTTGTTTAGGCTCCATTTGGGTAGATTGCAAATACAAACATATATAAGGTTCAAATACAAGATTTAGAAATATTGTATACAAGGCTTTGCACTGAATATATTTGTATTTGTCGTCTTCCCAAATGGAGCCTTGGGACAATTTCTATTATATTCTTTTCCTTTGGTTGTAAGTTTTAGATTAGCTGCACTTGTAACAACAACAACAATAATCTATATCTCACCACAACACTCAACATGGTCATCCCTATTCTCATTTCTCCTACATGTGGCTTTTCATTCTTAAAGTACCAAAATTACCCATTTTCATCATTAATTACCATTTTTTGTGTCATTCATATCTATAACGTTCCATTCTTCATTATTCATAATCGTGGTGATTGAACGCATAATGGAGGCTTTTCTATTTCACATTTTTCATTACAACATTATTTTTTTATATATACTCTGTTTTATCTCCTTGGAATTTTTAGACCTTAAATCTTTTTAACCGTTTCTTCTTTTATCAGCAGATACATTATTTTGTTCTTTCAATTAGACTTCATCGTTTCATTTTCAAAAAAAAAAAAAAAAGCTTCATCGTTTCGTTTAGGAGACCATGAGGGAATAGGAGTTCTATCACATATCACATCTTACCCAGATACACCTATTTCAATATGTTAAAATTGTTTTTAATTATCTTTTTTCATTGCAGAAACCATATTTCTTTCTGTCTTTAGGTAACATTTTCACATTAGAAATCAGTAGGGAAGATCACTTCAACCCCAATTCTCTGGTTCATAGTTCCTCTACATTGCATAAGATTTTACATTTCGCGCCATGGCTTTCTTTTGTTGATTTAACTGTGAACCGACAGCCACTATGTTGTTAAAAACCAGTAGTGCATGGTTAACAAGGATGAAATCTTGAAGAGAAGCCAAGTCGAACCTTGGCTTTTCGACTACATGTACTCAGTGAGACCTTCACAGATGTGAATTTTAGGATTTTGTATGCAAAGTTAACAAGGATGAAATCTTGAAGAGAAGTCAAGTTGAACGGTGGCTTTTAGACCACATGAACTCAATGAGACCTTCACGGATGTGAGTTTTAGGATATCATATGCAAAGTAATTACTGATTAGCTAGAGAAATTGATGCAGGATAATATCAAATCCAAAGAATAGTAGTTTTGGGTAAGTGGTCTGGTTTTATCAATGAGCTCCATGCCAGTTGTTTCAGCCCATTTGCTTGCCAAAGCCATTGGACATCATCATGAACTCATCAGCATTGACATCACTATCGCCATCACTATCAATGAAGTCTGTATTATAAAAAAGGGAAAAACTATGCTGCCAGAAAGACATGATACCATAAGAACTTTGACCAATCAACCCCCCTCCCGTGAATTTAGATAAATACCACCTGATTGGTTACTACTTTTATGATACTGGTTAATTGGTTACGAATTTTTCCATTATCATAGTCAAACCTTAAAAAAAAATAGTAATGTAGTGGCTTACTTACACCAAGGAACCTCATACTGGGGGGCTGGGGGGGAGGGGGAACAGTGGTGCTGTGTACTGGAAGTGGAGTTACATGAATGGTGAGCTGTGCCCACTCCATACACCCTCAAAATGACCAAGATGGTGTAAGTCTGCTCCTTAAGTCATACTGTGAAAAAGGTTGATCATTTTTGGAATACAAGAATTCATGTATGGTTTAGAGTAAGCCGGGATTAGTTAAAATATCCTGTCTGGTGTATTTTTCAGTCATGTCCTTGTCATATCTGGGTATCATAATTTGCAGGATTTCCGGGAGATGTTCTCAAGATTTAGAAGGGGAAAAACATATTTTGATCTTGTGCCTCAAAATTGTATCATGAGTGTAGAGAACACTGATGTGGGCCCCACGGTTGTGGTCCCCACTGTGTTCGTATGACAGCACATGTAACCTTTGATTAGTTTGTCAGTGTTAGTTGGTAGTTATCTTAGACAGCTTGTTATCTCAATTATTTATTTGTTTTATTTGCCATGTAAGCATTAAGGGCAACTCTGTCATTTCCTACATTTAGTGAACATAAACTATAAATATTGAGAGAGTGGCGGCGGCAGATTCATTCAATCTGTCTCTCATTTCAAAACCCTTGTGTACTTCTACTTCTTCTCCTTTCTTCTCCCTCTTTCTTCTACTTTTCTCAATCCGAAATCTGTTGGAATTCAAGACTGACTGTAATCTTGATTGACTACTTGGTATCAGAGCCTATCTAGGGTTTCTCATGTGAGTCTAGTCCAGTTGACCACATGAGAACTGTCTACTGCTGGAAGCTTACAAAGGACTGTTCGTTGGCTGATTCTTGGAGGTTACTAGAAAAGTTTAGCAGCTGTTCGAAGACTTGTCGAGGCTTGCAGAGTGTGTTGGTAATCAGGAAGAATCAGAGGAGGTTAGGGTGGACCTATCTAGGAGGAGCGGCCGAACTCTCCTATTTTCTCTCAGAGGTGATCAGTTTTTTTTTAGGGTTTGTCATTAACCCTACGGCTGAGCACTGTGAATTCTTTTGGAAAGTGCGGCTGAGCACTGTTTATGTTCTCAAAAAGGTCTTCCTAACCCTACGATTAAAACCCTAATTCTGCCTCTGCATTACAAATTGCTTTCTAAGTGGGTTTCAGACCTATTTTTGGCTTCCGAGCCTGTTTTGGGGGTGAGAACTGTTATYGGACTGCATATATTCTGATTGCSGATTGGTTTCAGATCAGATCTGAACTGATTTCATACAGATTTCTGATTGTGATTGATTGTTTAAGTGCTGTTTTCTATTGCAATAACCCTAATAGTTTTTAACTACTGATTCTTGACCAAGAATGGAGTTCAAAAATCAGGGAGAAGGTGTTTTTCGGAACAACAGTTCTGGTAGTATGTCTAAGACTGCATTTCAGATTATAACTGTGAGATTTGACGGATCCAATTACTTGGAATGAGCCCAATCAGCCATGATGGCTATTGAGGGAAGGGGAAAACTTAGCTACCTATTGGGAGATGTGAAAGAACCTCCCAAGGAGGACCCAATGTATACCAAGTGGGTTCAGGAGAACTACTTGGTTATRACATGGCTGTGCAACTCTATGCAGCCACATATCAGCCGAAATTACTTGTGGGCAAAGACAGCCAAGGAGATATGGGATGTCATGAAAGAGACCTACTCCCAACCCCTTAATGTTGCTAGAGCCTATGAACTGAAGTGTGAAGTGAATAACCTTAAACAAGGAGAGAAACCAATCTCTGTTTATTTCTCTACCTTGAAATCCTTGTGGCATGAAATTGACCATCTGGAGACTTTTGAATGGGAAAGTCCAAAAGATGCACAGACCCATAGAAAGCAAGTCGAGACCAATAGGGTGTTTGAGTTTCTGGCTGGCCTGAATTCAGATTATGACATTGTGAGACAGCAGATACTGACAAGAGACAGTGTGACCCTATCTCAAGCATACTCCCTGGTGCATGGTGAAGAGACCAGGAGGAAGGTTATGATGCAACATCAGCCCTTTCCCCCAGCCCTAGCAGCAGTTAAACCTAAGTCTGGGGGTGATACAAAAAGGGACATGAAGAAGGAAGATAAACGAGATCTAGTATGTGAACATTGCAAGAAACCCAAGCATACAAAAGATACATGTTGGAAGCTCCCAACAAAACTGAGGAATAAAAGGGGTAATGCTCATATGGCTGTGAATACTGATTCTGCATCCTCGTCAAGCACAAAAGGCACGCCCCTAGATAGCTTAGCTGTTGTTCGGGCTACCCTAATACAGTTGGAAAAGGAGGTTGGGAATTCAGCTCGGTCATCTCAGTCACCATCAGCCCCTGCCACATCTGCGTTTGCTCATTTAGGTACTCAGGCCTCAGCTTACCATGCTTTAGCTCTAGGTAACACTGAACACTGTTGGGTAATAGACTCAGGTGCATCTGACCATATGACTAGCTTGCCATCATTGTTCACTACTTATCACTTATCCTATGGTAGAGATAAAGTATCCATTGCTGATGGCTCTCTTGTTCCCATTTCTGGCAAGGGTGACATCAAGTTATCTGATACTATCTTTTTATCCTCAGTCTTG